TTTTACACTGTTGTTACCAAACAGCTGGGACTTAAGTAACTCCACGCAGCCGCCCTTTGACGAGTCACTTTTGAAGCAGAGTGCAGCGTTGCTTTCCTACACAGCTTTTGTCAGTCAGTCCGGGGATTTGAACTGCCAGCCGTCCAAGTCACGAGCATCCACCTCCTCTGCAGGCTGCTGCTGTCTTTTATAGCAGACGACCAGTAAAAGAGCTAAAAACTCTTGACCCTTCCATTCCTGGGGGCGCCCACAAGTGCTTAAGCAGATAAAGATTATATTCATCGCATAGACATTTTAGTACAGGGGTCAGAAAAGGGCTTTTACATAAAAACAGATTGTTTTACAGAACGAATAATGCCGATGTGAGTTTAGACTGGTGGTACTGCTTATGTTGGCTTACGCTCAACTGTACTGTAAGGAACTGGTGGCTATACTGGAAACCTAAACAATGAAAAAAAAAAGGTTTTCTTTTCTTGCAAATAGAAGAGGATGCCTGTGAACTCAAAGTCGGACTCAGAAATCCATTACAAGGTCAACAGCCTGTGCTGCTTCAGTCCACCTCACCGGTGTCACACAAAGTGAATATCTGAGAAGACAATCTACCTCCTACTTCCTGAGTATGTGTGCAATATTACTGTGGAACGACTTCTGTACATCTGTAACCTATAAAAATAACCACACACTTGATATTTTTATTTTATTCCTTTTTTTTTTGTCACTACCATCGTTTCCTTCCTTTTTTGTTACATTCCAGCATGTCTGACTACATATCGGCCATCAGGGTTAAATATTAATGACCGAACCTGCCAAATCCGCCTGAACATTCACAATACTTTTAATGCAGCTGCACTTATTTTACTGTGTCTCCTTTTTCTCATAGAGTTCAGAAGAGGAACCGAAGAAGCCAAGGCAGTCATGAAATGTGAACATCTGTGTCGACAAGTGTTACATGTATGCGCTGCATTGAAGGTCAGTGGCTCATACTTCCACTGTGCAATATCTGGCTGATCATAAAGGGGCTACCATTTGCAAGGTTGCCTTGCATGCAAAATTTCAGGTCACGACCACTGGGAGCCAATAATGCCTTTGGCTAAGCAACAAGATGCAAATATAGCTATTCAAATTCGCACCACTCCATACACATTCAGGGCTTACACAAACACAGACACACACACACACAATCTCATCTCAGTGCAACGAGCCCTCGTTTGATCCGTGAATAAGTCACAGTCCTGGGGCAATATTTGATCTGAGACGACTTCAGATCCATATTTCTGTGTTCACTTTTCTTGTTGACCAAGAAAGGAGACTGAGCTTACACCTTCTAGATTATTTTAGTCATTTTCATTGTGCTCGCTGTAGTTCAGCAGCCTCTTAGTCCAGTGGCAGGCCCGGATTACACGTCTCACCCAGGGCAGGAATAAAGATAACAGCAGACAGGCAGCACCCTCCACTCCAGGCTGTTGAGCAGACGGAAGTTAGTCAGAGTTAAGACATCAGTGTACTTCTATGTCACACTCGGTGCTCCAGATTCCCCCTCCGCCTCCGCCTCCCCGAAGCCCTAAAGGCAGAGTTTACACAGTCACCTGGTGTTTAACTGGTCACAAGAAGATGGATGACAGTGTAGGCAGCAAAGCTAGATAGAAACCCCCTCAATGTCACAGCAGCTCATTCGGTTCAATTTCGGCCCCTGCTTAGCCACTGGGGCAACCCAGATATCATTCATTCTAACACTGTCCATCACACTATACATAGACCAGCGAAATTAGCACAAACGCAATGCTCGCTATCAGTGTGAAGTATGGTGGCAGTAGGGGCGATTATTTACGGGCTGCATTACTTTCTGAAGACCTGAGCTCTGAGTCATCAACCGAGCCTGATAATTAATTCCACGCGCTACAGAAATATTATGAAGCTGCACTACAGAATGACAGATGTACAGCATGAAGCACATTGTCAACAGGGTGACTGTATTAAGCTATTTTGACTGCTTCGTTATGAGATTGTGCGTTCCTGTAAAACAAATCCGTAGTTTTCATTTTTAATACTTGGCACTTTATTTTCCACAAGTTGTATTTTGTTTTCGGTAAACAGAGGAGACAGGAGATCCGGCGGTTTGATGTACTCATGTGTAATCAGACTATTTGTTGTTTTCTGTCTGCTCTTTGTTTGTCCCAGAGCTCAACTTCCTGTAGATACAAGAGGTAGAGATACACTGGGATCTGACAGTAAGAGATAACCTGCCATCAGCGAGCCGTCTATTTTTAACAGCAGGTACTAGTAACGCATGACGTGGGGCTCTTGTTATCAATATTTATGGAACAAAGATTAAGACAGAGTAATGATACACACAGCCCTGACTGGATCCATCCTCGCTTAATAGTTGTCATTACGGCGAGGGGGAGGAGGAAAGTGCTTATAGACTCAAAATTTTTAGGCTGGCACTCTGCATTTTAGTAATGATTCCAGAGACCACAATGGGCCCCAAATGTGATTAGCAGATGTCAACAGGGGTGCATGATGACTGCAGTGTTAAAATGGCTTTAACAATACTCCCCCCCCCTTTCTTTTTTTTTGGTGATTAATTTTTCTACAGTTGTCATTTGAGGAGGTGGAGCTGAGAGTCATTTTCAGGCATTCACGGGCAGATTGTTGGAAGCTCCTTGGGAAAAAGGTTGGACAAAATCTTACACACAGTTACATCTTAAAAGCTGCGTGCAGCTCAGGAGGTTAAAAGACAGGTTTACAAAAATACAGAGCAACAATGACAACAACAAGTGGTAATGAGCCAATCACAAAAGAGATACCACGACTGCTTCTGCTATAATTGTGACATCCTACATCTTCTTTGCTGCATTGCCTGTATCCGATTAACACCAACACCTGTACCTCCTAACAGACCTCGAAAAGGCCGGAACAGTGCACATTCTTCCCCCGTGTTTATCCCGAGGTGCAGCCCGTTGGCCACACATTTTAATAACACTCCCTGTGCCAAAATATATTTCACTCAAACTCTTATAAGTTCCAAGAGTAAGCTCAAAAGAGGTGAAGTATCTTGGCAGACCATAGAGCAAAATGCCATGCAGTCATATGCAGCCCAGGGGATGAAGTGATTGATCTATGACCTCGGACTCGGATAAGATATTGTGCTGAAGAGTGCGGGGGAGGACACGGATAGTGGAAAAGGGACGAGCATGAGTCAGTAACAGAGTCTGCGAAAAGCTGTGGGAGCAGAGGAAGTGTTAACAACATCACAAGTAGGAGCAAGTCAAGTTACCACGTCAGGAAGCAAAAAGGCCTGAGAGTAGGATGATGGTAGGAGCCTGCGAGGTGATGGGGACACATACATCCTAATCATTTAATCATGTAAGGTGAAAAAGAAAAGAGGGGGAATTGTTCGTGCTGTCTTCACCCGGGCTGATATGTGTTACCTCTCTCTTCATGTCACTGCCTTTTATTAGTCGCCTGTAATGAGTAGCCCCCTGTGTGAAAAGCCTGCGAGGACCGAGTTCAAGGATAATAAGCTATGTGTGGCTCTTAAGTCCAGCACTGCTTGCCTGTTTGGTACACGGAGAACCACATCTTTCTTGCCCAGTAATAATTATGATTAAACACACATATATGTTTTTTATTTTTATCTAATTATGCCATCTTGTGTCTTTGAGGCAGAAATGTATTGACACAAACCACAAAAAAACTTCTCTTTTTTGTTTTGTTTTGTTTGTTTGTTTTTGGCCACTGCCTCTACAAGCAGGCTGACACAGTAGCTACATGCGTAGTCAGACCAGATTAGAATCAGCTCCGCTCGCCAAGAAAAGACTTTTTGAATGTGTCAGAAGTTTTGGTACAATATTGACAAGTGCCACTGACAACAGAGAAATGTGACTTCAGGTTCAATATTAAAATCAGTGCGTATTTTGGCACATGTACTCCCCTTCGTGAAGGCGAACAGCAGTATCAGAGCAGCAGGTGTGGGTGGGATGGCATCCAGGTACCTGAAACACTTTGATGAGCAGCTTTTTTTTGGGGGGGGGGGGATTTAATGCTTTTGTTGTTTGTTTCCAGAGAAAAGTCCAAAGATTTGTTAGATTGGTGCTATTGTCTCTTTTTTTTTCTTTTTTTTCTTTTGAAGAAGCACGCCTACAGGTTCCAATAGCGCGCCACCCATGCAGCGTTATTTCCATAAGCTATGACCAAAAAAAAAAAAGACGAAAAAAAAGATCATAGCACAGAATGACACTTTTCTTACACACGCACTCAAAAAGTTTGGGATGCTGGCAAAGAGTCAGGCATCACCTATTACTCATGTTACTTAGTACATTTGGGGCTTCACTTGCAAGTACGGCGCTTCGTCACTGCATAACAATCAGATGGCTGAGTGTTGGCAGTGTAACTGATGGAATTTTACTGAAAACAGATTTCGCCTTTGAACTTCCAGATATTCCTGATCGAAAAGTATCATCCGTGACTTCACGCACTGTGGTCGCTTCTCTCGGTGTAATAACGCTTCCGGAGGACGTGGATTAACTTTTTTCACATTTATTTCTGTCCTGAAGGGGGGAAACGCAGCACTTCAGCAGAGTTTGACAGTGTAAGTATATATGTGTATATATATGTAAATATATATATGAGAGAGACGGAGTGTGGTCCAGCAGAAAAGGGGGAAGAAAGAAGGAAAGGGAGGAAGAAAAGGGCGGAGGGGGGTTTCGTTTTGAGCAGCAACAAGTTCCTCTAGAACTTGACAAGCAGACACCGGGGCGCTGTAAATGTCTATTTGTTTTGTGAGGGGAAAAAAGAAAGAAAGACAAAAAGCCCGCTGCGCATCGCCCGTAAGAACAATCTAAATGACCAGTTGTGCGTATGCGTAATAGGCCCATGGCCCTTCGCCAAAGAGGGAGTTAACAGTCTATTACACAAACACGTGAATCGAGAAATGTCTCAGAAGTTTTTATGTCTCTTTCGTTGTTCCTCGATGCGGATTTAAAGATTTGAGGCGGTGAACGAGGCGATCAGTCAGGAGCGAGTGCCCCCCATAAACTTGTATTGCCGTCGCTTATTTCAATCACGTAAGACCCCCTAATGGCGTTGTCCTGGCGAGGGTGTTACGTATATCTGTACAAGCTTTTCTGACAAGCCAGCCTTGTTGATATTTGTCTTTACTGTAGAGCCACCAAGGTGTTGCCTAACAGAGTTTAAGCACGCCGATATTGCAAAGGGTTATTAGATTCATAAGTCAGCGAAGTGGTGGGCGATCTACTGAGCACAGCAGAAGTTCTCATATGATGACTTCAAACAAGACACATTACCTACCAGCATCTGTTGGAGTGAGTGGATATTAAGACACTTCTATCTCCAGGACAGCGTAGGGGAAAATGGTAAGTAGCAATGGAAACACACAGCATATAAGGGATGATTACCAGCAAATAGTCGTGCTTGCTGTTTAGTCTGGCAACGCATTGCTGGAAGGGTTGGACTCTACTTGAGAAACTCAGTATCGAGACCCATGTCTGATGAGGCTGATGTTGACAAAGCCTGTGTGAGAAAGGATTGTGTGGCATTTCTCTGCTCAGGATATGCCGGTACAGTGAGAGGGGTAAGGAAATATTACATTGTGTCTGCGCGCTGTGTGTGGATGTGATGTGGGCTGTACAGGCTGCCTTGGAGGGCTGAGTGCTGGCAGAGAAGGGTTTATATTTTATGCATGCATTTATGTTGCCTTTTGCGAGCGGTGGCCATGCTTGTTTAAATAACATAAGCAACATGTGCCACTTGGCTGTCACACTTGTCATAAGCATGACATTAAGAACAATGGGGCACAGTATCAGCGCTGCCGGTTACAATTTGGCGTAAGAGTGTAGCCTTTCTGTGGCGAGCGAACTGAGCCGGCGTTTGTGGTGTATAGGTGCTGTTTATCTGGGAGGAAATGTCCGACCAAAATGTGATCAAATATTAAGAGGACTGGTTTGGCAAGGGGTGGGAAAATACACGTGACAAGACGCGAGGAAGCAAGCTGAGTAGGGGGGTGAAAAAGAGCTGTTTAAAGTGGGCACTCAAAAAAAAAAGTATATAGCTATTTTCTTGGCCCCTCATAGTTACCCTGGCTGTGTTATGCTTTCAGCACGTTGGACAGAGGCACCGGAGTCGTGCATGGACTAAAACGCCGAGTGGACGCCAACTCTCTTTCTCTCTTTTCCCAGCCCCCCTTTGCCAAACCTGGGATTGTTTTTTCAACTTTTGGTAAGCTTATTCTGAAGGAGCCTGTGGTCTGTAAACGGAAAATAAACCGGATTCTAAAAAGAAAGAGAGGGAGAGAGCAAGAGAGAGAGAGAAAACATTTTAAAAAAGGGGGTAAAAGAAAAGCGCTTGCCATTAAAAGAGCTCGTGCTTCAGATGTGTTTTTTTTTCTTTTTTTCCCCTTTTTTTTGTAGAGCACTGTGAAAGTTGAAATGTTAGGGCGTCTGGTCTTTTGCACATCACATTCTCGGTACCTATAAGCCCCCCCACACTGCGTTAAACTTTGGGACATGCAAGTCTTGGTCGCGGAGATCTAACCACGCACATAGTGGTTGTCAGCCCTTATAAAGGTAAGAGCACAATCCATTGTTTTTTGTGTGAATCCTTTCTTCCTGTCGGCTTTTTTCACGAGGCTTCGGCTGGCTTTTTTCCGAAATGAACTTAAAACTACAGCATGCAGCCCTTCGTCTTTTGCAGTGTGTTCATTGTGGACATGAATAACCGAAATAAGTCCGAAATGAAGCACGATCCAGGTGACCAAGACCCGGCGGAGCATATCCTTCTTTCTTTCTTTCTTTCTTAAAAAACAATCCTGAACTTATTGTTATTTTTAAGCTTTTTTTCTTTTTTTAAATAAAATATAGGTGCGTGCACGTTCATGCGGGGAGCTTTGTGAAGCGTTTTTTGGAGTTTCCGAACACTGCTGCAACACAATTTGCGTAATCGTTGCGTTGTGCCTAATCATGCTCCCAATATGGGACTTAAGACGCTGCAGTGATACTTTCAGCACGAACTGGAATACTGATGCTCGTGCACATCATAAAATATCTACCTATCTGTCTATCTGTGCTTATTTTTCTTGTTTGGTCTGCTGCATTCATGTTTTGTCTTGATGTCAAACCCTCCGGATTTTGTTATCGACCAAAAATAGCCCTACTCCCCCCCCCTCCCGCGCCAGCACCCCCCCTTTTCCCTCCATAGCCCCCCCTCCCGTCATCGCCATCAAATCACTTGTGTTTTTACTACGACCGCTCCACGGTTTCATTCATAAGGTGCTTTTCACTTCACCTGCTACCCTACCCCCCTCCTCCTCCCCTCCTCCTCCTCTTTGTCCGTACACGGCTCTGTGTCGACCTGTCAGACTGCAGGCTACGAATGAATAAAAATATTAGTGATAATAAAAGATAAATAAAGCCTTAACTGTAAGAAAAAAGCGAAGGGCGGTGGGGGTAGAATAAATAATTCCTCGCCCCTTTTAGATTCGTGTGATTTGCTGCCAAAGCGAGGCTCATTTACTGTGTACAAATTGTTCGCTTTATTCTTGTGTGAAATTACAATAAAGATGGGCGTGGTCAAAGTCCATCCTCTGACAGATGTTATGGCTGAACGTTATGGTGAGAGATAAAATGGCTTGAGAGGAAATTGCTCGGGAAGCATCGCTTCTTTCTTTCGTTCTTTCTTTCTCGCTTGCTTTCTTTTCTTCTTCTTCTTCTTTTTGTGTAATTTAAAATTAAAGCAATCAGCATCACTCATCTCGCCTATTTGATTTACATGATCATCACCCAAAACTGCCCTGAGATTTTATTTCTGTGCCCTCCTGAAGGACTTGTAGCCTTAAAAAATTCGTCTCGCACCAATGCAGAAGCAGTGGATATTGTCTACCCCCCCCCCCCCGGCTCTCTCACTCACACCCCCTTTGGTCAAAGATTTAAGATTTCTGATCCAAGTCGAAGCAATTGCATGGCAAAACAACAGCATGGGAAGAGAAAAGCCCCAACGCCCACTGGCAGTCCTGTTTTAATCAAGACTTCTCGTGCAGGGGGCTGCGATTTCAAATAAATACTTCCAATATGAAAGTATCCAGTAAATCCCTAATTACATTTGAATTATGGGACACCCCCCTCCTTTTTTTCTTCTTCTTCTTCTGCTGGCGTTTTCCGTAATTTTAACCCAGCAATGTAATGCGCCCAGATCGGTTTCCGCATATTATGACCTATTACTCCTCATTTTATGAGACGCTGAAACCCAAATAGATCACATTACTTATTAGGCTAACCCGACATTCATAAAAATGCTCCTTTAATAAAGGCAGCGACGCGACTTTAATAGCCACATTCCAGGCATCAGTGCCACAAAACCCGCTGATTGCACAAATTACGACCAATCATTAATTTGCCGAACGAAACGAAAGGAAGGGTTCATTGGATGACAGATCGGGGGAATTGTGACAGTTTAAAGAAATTTTTGGCCTTATGTTTTTTTTTAATTCACAGATGCTATCATTGTCTCACCTTTTTTCTTTTCTTTTCTTTTCTACTGCACCATCTTTTTTCCCCTCCGACTGCACTGTTTATAAACGTAAGCATTTTTTTTCTATTTCTATTTTCTGGCCGTGGCTTTATTTTTATTTTCTAATTTATTTATGTTTTGTTTTTTTTTTCCATCGAGACGTGGGATTAGATGGTGTGGGCGTGGGCGTGTTGGGTGGAGGAGGAGGGATGAGCGGAGGCGGGTTAGGAGGGGTCTGTGGGGTGGCACGACACACTTTGTATGTATGAAGGTTTTTTTATAGCACTTTTCTGCAATGTACGTCAGCGGATCAGTCCATAAATGGGGCTGCGCGTGTTTGTGTGCGGGCGTGCGCCTGCGTGCGCTCGCGCCTGTGTGCGTGCGTCTCCGCGTGTGTTATCTTTACCGAGAATCTCCCCTCTCTCTCTGCACTCTCAGCTCTGCAGAGTTGGGGTGGGCGTCAAAAACAAACCTGATGGTAGGTTTCTTTGCAAAAAAAAAAATCCGATGAAATTCTTTCGGATGGGCCTTTTTTAAATTAAACGGGGAAAAAAGAAAAAGAAACGCCCTGGGTGGAAATAAAGACAGCATTATTAACGTGTTAGATTGTCTCGTGCAGCTACTATTTTTTTCTCCATCATGTAATTGTTGGTCTTTGTGTGTCGGTTTTTTTCTCCTTTTTTTCTTTTTCTTTCTTGTTTTACCCCGACGCCATTAATTCTGCACTTTGTGGAAAAATCCGGATTTAAATGCCATTTTCCCTATATAGACATGGGCGACGTTTGTCCCCCAGTAAAACTCGGATTTCGGATTTTTTTTCCACCCCCCCCGCTTTCATTCATGAAATGCAATCGCTTGATGTCTGATATAAATTACAAATAGGTTATTGATTATTATTTTTCTTTTATTGGGGGCAGGGGTGTATAGATCTCGAAAATCTGGGCTCCGCAGAGAGGCGTACGTCACGATATATTTAGATTGAAAATTAATCATCTTAATCATTATGAAAATGTAGGCTACATCGCCCGCCGCCACCGTCGCTGTCCCCGCTGCTGCTCCTGCTTTAGTCACCACATCATCGTCATCTTCATCACTGGCACCTTCATCCAATTAAGAGGCTTGTTTAAACAAGTTCTGGCAGGAGGCGAAGCCTTGAACCTTTATTCCGAACATTTAATTACCAGTTATTCGTCATTCAGCAGCGTGACTGTGGTTTCGCAGCGATGAAGCCCACGATGAGTTATTAATACATAGTTGGAATATTCTTACTGTAAAGACATCTTATATGACGGACCACTGCGGGACAACAAGGATGCATGACGCGGCGTGACAGGAAATGCTCGACGATTCCGGCAAACCATTCACGTGTGTCTCCCAGCAGTATGTGAACATGCAGCACATCAGTGATTTCAGACAGCTTCCAGAAGCCATCAAAACAGCTTTTTTTAATGCTGTTTCCTGAGTGCCAGTTAGACGGAAAGTGAGCCGGCTTTGGCCCGTAAGGTTGATTTAAAGTATCTAATTTCAGGCCTTTATTCTGAAAATTGCGTTTTTGCTTCCATATGGTGGCAGGAAATCGCTCTATAGCAAATCAAGGCAGGGTTTTAATTTTGTGCATCCTCTCTTGCTTAGCATTTTTTAAAATTCTGCTTTCTTTTTTAAAATAGAAAATATTTTATTATAAGCAGTGAAGCAAACATTAGTGATGGGGGAGTGTGGTGTTGGGGGGGCAGAAGGCAAGAAAACAGACAGAGGCTTCACAGGCTATGGAGTGACTTGCAGTCTGCCACTATAGAAATAATGTATCAGCTGAATGAGGGTGTGGGAAGGAGGAGTCTATAGGCCATATATG